GAGATGAATAGTGCTTTTAAAGCAAATGCCTTTTAAGCTTTGCTGAACACCCTTCTATGGGTTGCTAACTTGCTTTTACAGGGAATTGGAGAAAATACAAGTGGAGGGAGATGACCTTTATCTACCAACAGCTCCTAATAAACTTGTTAGGGGTATTCAAGTTGATAGTGGAATACCCCTGCAATCAGCTGCTAAAGTTCCTATCATGATCACATTTAATGTGGTTGATAGAGATGGTGACCCTAATGATATAAAGCCTCAAGCTTGCATCTTCAAGGTTTATTTCAGTTACTTATTGCTTCATTGTTGGTACTACATTCTCTTATGAGATGGAATTATGGTTTGAATTCCCCACATAAACTTTGCTTATCTTTTTTTGTTTTTTTAATCAGCCAATGAAATTAGTGGTTAGCTATTATAGAGATTTAAACTTATGACCTTAATCCTAATGGGTAGGGTTTTTTAGTTATACCTACATAAACTAGGAATATTAGGGATCTTTTATTGATGGAATAATATTTGGAATATTCCACTGCATGAGTATGAAATTTAAAGTTGGAGGCTCAGATTCAAACCTTGGATTGAGTGGAGGGGCTCGGGATCAAGAAGGCTATCCCTATTGTATAGCTCATTGTCAGATAAACCAAAAAAATCAATCAAATCAAACCATGGAATTCATGTCTTGCTAGTACAATTCTTTCATGGGATCGCCTCTCATGCCATGTCCTGTTCCCTTCAGTTTTTGGTTCTCTAACAAAACGCAGTCAATTCTAGCGCTAAAGATGAGCTTCTTTGTTCTTAGGACTTGGGGCTCTGTGTGTGTGTGTGTGTAAAAGGTCTGTTCCTTCTGTTTGAAGGAGCAAGACATAACTCTCTTTCTTTGGTTTAATATCATGCTTGGATTTATGTGCTTCTGTATGTTTCCAGTTGTAAAATTTCATATTTCCTTACTGTAATGATTGTTTATTTTTTCATAATACTCTGGCATCTGATACAAGATATGGTCTTATTTCTAATGTAACTGGTTTTTTATCCTAGGTTGGAGATGATTGTCGACAAGATGTTCTTGCTCTTCAAGTAATAGCAATTCTGAGAGACATATTTGAAGCGGTCAGACTTAATCTTTACTTATTTCCCTATGGTGTTCTCCCAACTGGCCCAGAGAGAGGTATAATTGAGGTGAGTATGTTTCACCCCCTATAGTTTATAGGTGTAGGCTTGTACACCTTTGCCTGTCTATTGCACTTTGGATGTCTCAGTTTGAAAATGCGGCTGCTGGTGATTTTCAATTTTTTTTTTCTGTTAATTTGACCATCTTACTGGAAATGTTATCTCATTTTTGTTTTCTGCTCTGGTTTGAGTGTCTTCTTGAGGATGTTAAGATTGTAATATGTCCTTAAGGCCTGCTTTTTCTTTGGGAAAAAAATATACAAAATCCATATTGTATCTAGTGCTTGGCATGTTTAGCGTGAGACTCCTATTTGCATTTATCATGGAAATCTGTATTTAATTAAATCAAAAGTTTCATGATTTTCCAAAAGGTTTATTAGCTTATGCCTTTTCTTTTGATAGTGGCATATCAATGGCTTCTGTCGTAACATTAATTGTTAATAGTTGTGGTGCCAAAATAAAAAAATAGTAAAAAAAGGTAGTTACTCGATTGTTCTCCCAAGTCCCAACCATACTGTAGTTATTGAATTTAATCTCCTCTTTTGGCATATTCCTGCCATCTCAAGATTCCTTGTATTACACTGGCCTGTAGCTCCTAAGATCATTTTTGCAAGGCTTTAGAGCAATGTAGGAAATACTGCATGTATTTTCATTGTTACCCTTTATATAATTGTCTCATATGACATGATGGTAGCCCGGCTTGAGTTTTTGAGGTGTCATTTTGTGCATGTGTCATGTTATTATAAGAAACAGAACAGCACAAAGGATTCTCTAGGTCTTGATACACTTTCTTGCCAATGCAGGTTGTACCTAATGCAAGGAGCAGAACTCAGATTGGTGAAACAAATGATGGTGGTTTGTATGAAATTTTTCAGCAAGACTATGGGCCTGTTGGCTCTCCTAGTTTCGAAGCTGCGCGTAAAAATTTTATAATTAGCAGTGCTGGGTATGCTGTAGCCAGCCTTCTACTTCAACCAAAGGACAGACATAATGGCAATCTTCTTTTTGACAAGTAAGATTTTGTGCTACTCATTTTCCTTGACGTTAGAAATTGTCAACTTCAGTAGGTAGAGGATCAAATGTTAATCTCTTTAATTTGCTTACTGAAACAGAGATTTCTATGAGTCAGGACTTTAAATTTTCTTATCAGCAACCTTTGTTTACCTTTTATTTATCGTTATCATTAATGCAGCATGGGAAGGCTTGTTCATATTGATTTTGGTTTCATCTTTGAAATTTCACCTGGTGGAAATATGCGGTTTGAGAGTGCACACTTCAAGTTGAGCCATGAGATGACTCAATTACTAGACCCATCAGGCGTTATGAAAAGTGAAACCTGGTACCAGTTTGTAAGGTAATGCTTTTTGGTCAATTTCTTCCTCTATTTATGTTTGTGAACTGCTTTCTCTTTTCCGTGGTTGATTAATTTGTTCTTTATTGAATATATGCAGCTTATGTGTGAAGGGATACCTTGCTGCCCGCCGTCACATGAATGGAATCATCAATACAGTTTTGCTAATGCTTGACAGTGGATTGCCTTGCTTCAGCAGGGGTGACCCTATTGGAAATCTTCGCAAGAGATTCCACCCCGAGATGAGTGAGCGGGAAGCCGCCAATTTTATGATCCGCGTCTGCACAGACGCCTACAACAAGTGGACAACTGCCGGTTATGACTTGATACAGTATCTTCAACAAGGCATTGAAAAGTAGAAGGGAATCCTGGTAGTTCATCTTCTAGTGTCCATTGTTTCTAATTTTCTAGCATTTTTTTATTTAGCTAGTTGCGATTTTTCATGTGGAATCTGAAAACGGGAAACAGTTGGTCAATGCTGAGGAAAATTGTGGAAAACAGCGAGCTTAAGTTGCGTTGTTTGTGTTGGAAAAAGGAAAAATGTTACGTTGTTTGTACCCTAGGGGTGGCATCCCTCCTTAGGTCTACAAAAAAACAGTTTGTAGTTCCCATTTTTACTAATGAAGTATTCTTCATCTCTATGAGCGGAACTTGGATATATCTGATAATCTGTGCATTCAATTGAAGTTTTTGTTGACCTGATCATGCCAGCAAGTTTCATGATATTTTACAGGAGAAATGTCATTGTATGACATCATGGTGGATTTGGTTTGTGATTCAAAAGAAATTTGTCATTAAGGAAAGCTTGACTAATTGTGATACCTGACGAAAAAAGTGTGATGGTAAGTGATACATAAGTTTCATTTGCGTAATTGTTTTAATGTTAAGCAACAATTAAGCATTTGGTCTCATATTGAATGAATACAAGTGTCATTAGATATTAACTATTCTTAGTTGCATTTGAATAGCTAATGCAAATAAGACCTTAGCTTTCAAGGTTATAAAGCTTAATCCAAAGACTTATATTAAGTCTATTTAATATGGTTATAGTTTTTAATTTTTATTTTTATGTATTTAATAATTAATATTATATTTAAATTAAATTTAATAAATTTAAATTTTTACAATAAATTTTGATTTTAAATATAGTAATAATGATTAAATATATAAAAAAAATGAAAACTCAAAATTTAAAATCAAAATTATATTAAATAGAGCCTTAATGTCCTATATAGTCATAATGATTAAATATATAAAAAAATGAAAACTCAAAATTTAAAATCAAAATTATATTAAATAGAGCCTTAATGTCCTATATAGTCTTCAAGGAGAGTCATTTTAGTAACACAAAATAGGAACTTTCCTCTGAGAATTGCAGATCTCCATCCCATCTTAGATCTTGATTTGCTTAAGGGAGTTTTGGCAAAGGATTAGCCTAATCATAAGCATAACCGCAAACAATAGCCAACTTTCCATGTATTAAAAAACTACATTTTCCAATGTCTCAATTTTCTAAGTTGTTTTGAACAAACAGATATTAAATGTGATGATGTTTGAAGTTTGATACCTTATGCAAGCATGCAAGCTGTCACCAATTTTTCATACCTACCATGCGAGATTGCAAGAAAATGTCAGGGAAGATTAATTGGACCATCTAATCTTAGAGGGTCATTTTTTTTTTTAATTTTTAAGGGACAGGGTTATGTATTGGTTATGTATTCAAGCCAACAGAAAATATCCTCGCCAAAATTATTGGATCCAAGCATGTGCGGTGCGCCATGTATCGCCCAAAGAAAAGAAAAAATCCATGTGCCTTGTATACTGGCAAAAAGGGAAAAACTCAACCCTAAAGTTTTGGTCCAAAGTTTTCTCTTGTAGTTGAGGTTTAGAATCCAACAACTTCTTTAAATGTACTTAAAAAAATAATTTTTTTAAGTATATCAAATTAATGTAAAAATATACTCTTAAAATTATTTAGAGATAAATTAGTTTATAAATATATAAAAATTAGTTTTAGGACAACATAACCGTAAATTAAAAAAAGAAGAAAAAAAAAAGAAACAACGCACCATGTACTCAATAAAAGGAAAATAGTGTGCCAAAAACTCTCTTGTTTTTTTATCAAATGTGTAAGGTAATTAAACACATTTATTCCTTCATGTATGTCATAAAGAAAAGTTATAATAAATTACCTTGTATTTTTTGTAAAAAATAATATATTATTTTATAATAGAAAAAATGTATGTTTGTTACTTATTTTTATAATTAATTTATATAAAAAAATAAATTTTAATTTTAAATTTATCAACTATTTAATTAGAATATTACATCAATGTTAAAAATAAATTTTATTTTTCTAATTTTTTATCTAAATTAATAATAAAAAATATAATAAATATACTCTTAATCTATGACTTAAAACACTAATTAAAAAAATTCATGATAAAATTTCACAATAATTTTCCAACAAAAAGAAAAGGGGAGAAGAGAAAAATATTTGGAAGTTGGTATTTGAAGGATAGAAAATATATTCTTAATTCATGGTAATAATGATATTCTAACAGTAGTGTTTTCTTGAGCAGTACATTCTTTGTGGTAAAGGGAATTGAAACCCAAACCTTGAAACCAAAAGGATATACTTTAAGCATATGACCTGAAACGACGCCACCTCTTAAGTCCTATTATGATGAGGAAATTTTGAGGGTTTTTCTTTTTATTTCCTTTTTAAAAAAGAAAAATTAGTACATGCAGATATTCTTTTGAACATTAGTACATGTACATATTTAAAACATCAAAGATATTTAATTATATATGTAATTACTATAGCTAAATATTTTAGCTTTTTAAATACTTCCTATAAAATTTCTAAGCGCATATTTTTATTAAATTACCCTTAACCATGATTTTGCCCATTAGCAGCATTCCCTAACTGAATCTGGCCGTCGTTACCGTTAACTTCCTTCTTTCTCTTTGACTCTCTCCAATTGAATTTCTCGAACAGTGCCTCCATGTCCTCCAACGTCCTCCCCTGTGTCTCCGGCAAGAACGTGTAAAAGAAAAACCACGACACCAACGCAATTCCGGCGTACAAGAAGAACGCGCCGCCGATTGTTATGGCTTCGTATAGTGAAAGGAACGTCATGGATATAACTCCGCTTGTCACACGGTTCACCCCCACTCCTATACTCGCCCCCTGCGCGCGTAGTCTCAACGGGAAGATCTCCGAAGTGTACACCCACGTTATGGGTCCCATTCCGATCGAGAAGAAGCCGACGTATGATAGGACCATCAGAATGCACAGCGCCACCGCCCATGGTAGTGTTTTATTATGTGAGTGGTCGATGACGGTCAACCCCATCGCCAGTGTCGCCAAGGAGATGATCATTCCGGCGACGCTGGTGAGCAGTAGCGGCCGGCGACCAACCCGATCTAGGAGAAACGTGGCAACCAAAATGAACATCGTCTTGACAAATCCGACGGCGATGGTGGCGAGTAGCAAGTGGGAATCGGATTTGATTCCGGCCTTCTTAAAGATTCTTGGACTGTATAGGACAACAGAGTCGATGCCGGATGATTGCTGGAAAAAGTGGATGCCGACGGCGGCGATCAAGACTCGGCGGACCGAGGGAGTTGGGTAGATGAGTAGCTCTTTCCAGACGCCTTCGCCATGGTGGCTTTTGGTCACCTGAACGATGTCGTCGTTGCAGTCTTGAGGGATACCGGCCACTTCTTTAATGTCACTCAGCCTCCTTTGAGCTTCTTCTTCGGAATCAGATGTTTTGTTGAGGACTCTCTTGGCCTCTCCAAGGCGGCCCTGCATCACTAGCCACCGCGGTGACTCTGGCATGCCGAGAACCACAAGAGTCAGGATAACGGAGGGGACTGCACCTACTCCGAGCATCATCCGCCACGTTAAAAATAAGGGCAGCTTAGAGAAGGCATAATTCGACACATATCCGAGTAATATTCCGGCGTTAATGAACACCTGCAAACGGCAACATACTTGAACTGAGTGACATATTTAGTGTAAAATTAAAAATTTTCTTTGTATAATTTACTACTAGATATATTTATTGTAAACTTAAAAATTTTCTTTGTACTGTGTTATTATATTTACCCCAAGGGTCTCATTGACTATGATCCCATCTCTGTTTAGATTCAATTTTATCGTACAATTTACTATTAGATATATTAAAAAGTCTTAATAGTAGAGATCTATAAGGATCAAATTTTAGGAAGAGTTGAAGAGTTGAAAGAATATCTCAACTATATAATCTATTATGAAATGTACAAGAGAAAAATAATTGACGAACCTCTGGAAATGAGGTGAGGAAGCCGCGGGTGGATGCCGGAGAGACTTCAGCGGTATATACCGGAGCAATCATGAGAGCATAGCCGATGCCAATACCAGCAACGAAGCGGCCAACCATAAGGAAAGCATAATTTGTAGAGAAACCCATGAGAAGAGCTCCAACAAAGAAAATGGCACCTGCAAAAACGATGGTATACCGGCGACCAATCCAATCGGACGTCCTTCCAGCGGCCGCAGAGCCGATGAGACAATACAAGTTGATTATACCGGTAAGGATTTCAACCTTTAGGTCGCTGATTTTGAGGTCTCTCTGGATGTAGATTATTGCTCCACTCATCACTCCAATATCTATACTCCAAAATTCATAAACACACAAAGTTAGCAAAAATAAAATAAAATAAAATAATATCATACTTTTTCTTTTGAGGGACACTGGTCCGTTTGGTACGAAGAAAATGAAGAGGGAAAATCTTTATATCTAATTAAATTAAAATTTTGGTTGTATATCTTAGTTTATTAGACCAGAAAATTTTTCATTTCGTCCACTCTATTTTTCTTAAATTAAATAAACGCTGAAAACAAGTTTCTCATCCCTTCATGTATCAAAAAAAAGGAAAAAGAAATGAAAACTGAGTTTTTCCCTTTTCCAGAAAAATGGGTTAAGAGTATAATATACAGGATTTTCGAGTATCTAGGTAAGAAAGTGTTTTCGGCCTGAAAAGTCATTTTCTGCAAACCAAGCAAAGTAAGTGGAGAAGCCTTGAAACAGAGGACTTACCGTAACCGAGCAAGATGGAAGTCATGGAAGCAAGAATGGCACAAGCAAAGGCATACTTATTTCTCTTTGGTTTCTTGGAAGGTCCAAAATCTGCAACGATTTTCTCTGCGGCCGGAAGTTGTCCGGAGACTGCAACACCGGCCATCTCTGTTGTTAACTAGCTGCAGAGAGTGCAGAGGAGAGAAGAGTTTGATGAGAATTAGAAAGGATTGAATTCAACTGGGGTTGCAGTCATGAAGATGCTGTATGTCTATGTGGCTAGTGTGAGATGGATAGAGTTGCTTAAATAGACAAACACGGGATGAGTAAGTGGTCCAAAGAGTTCCACAGCAG